TGAGTGTCTTGTTAGCTTTTCCATTGGAAGGGGCTCTAAAATAGTACATTATTGTTTGTGGTAAATTTTCAGAGACTCTCAGGTGGCGTAGAGGTACTTAGTAGTACTTAGTAGCACTTCAGAAAATCCTCCGTAGAGTTTCTAGGGCTTTAGAATTTTCAGAAATATCTCAGTTCCCCTGATGTTACATTTCTGAGTCACTTCCTTGCCTTGGAACTATGTTCATTGGAGATCTATTTAGTATAAATAACTTTAGAATTTTCTGTCTGACCATACTCATGATGTCACAAATTAGCCTACTCATTTAGGATGTAAAAAAGGAGAAGTGAACCTTGATCTCTAAGGGAGAAAAAGAAATGTAAATGAAACGCCTTCCTCAGTAGCAAGAGAGCTCATAGAAAAGCAGACGAAATAGCGAAAACACAACACAAAATGAAATGAAAATAAAGGCAGATTTCTCATATGCTGCATTTAAATGGTACCCTCTGCTCCTGGATGGTACTGTTATTTTTCTACTTAATGTCTACTTGATAGTGTACAGTTATCAGCAGGAGTGCAAGCATTGAGAGAGAATCAGGTCAATGAGGGGAAAGAGAAAATGCTATGTAATGAAAAGTTGAAAGGAAGGTCTATATGAATTAAACAGAAAAAAGTCAACAAGCAGAGGAAAGTTGGAATAGTTCATACAGTGCTAAGGAAATTCAGTTATTGAGATTTAGAATAAGTTTTCATAGGCTGAGAATTTTAATATAAACCTAGGGCAAAAAGCACAAAGAAAAAAACTGTGTACCTTGAGGCAACTGGAGAAAATGCCAGAGACTAGAGCCTTTGGCAAGACAGGCCTGAGGCCAAGCCATACTTGAGATTTCTTTTAGTCCCCTTGAACTCTTGTTCTTTGTCTCATCTTTGGGTGCCCTCTCGCTTGTCAATGACAATCAGTTAATCTGGTAAATAAATTCACAACGATGGATTAAAGATGTGGTGAAAGCACACAGGCTTTGGTGTCAGATAGACTTGGGCTCAAATCTCACTTCTGCCTCTTTTTAGTTCTTTTCTTAGTTGTGTGGTCTTGGGTAGATTTCTTAAAATATCTTATTTGATGTATTTTTAAAGTGGGGATAATAACTGCATTGCTGTGAAGATTAAAGTAATGTCTATAAAGCAACTAGATGAGTACCTCACATGTAGCAGGTGCTTAATAGGTGGAGGTGCTTTTTCTGTACTCAGAATACTGTTCTTCTCAACACTATATGATTTCATATAGCTGTTCAATTAACTATACTAAATGAGTATCAACTAGAGTTCCAGGACCATGGATGAACTTTTTATTTAACTATCATTGCTAGTATTAGTTAAGTTTATACAATGTGCTATGTCTCTTATTAAGGGCTATAATAAACCATTTTATTTTTTAACTTCACAGCCACCTTATGAGCTAGATGACATTACTTTTTCCATCTTATGAAAGAGGGAACTAAGGTATAAGGAGGTTGTAAGTAACTTGTTCAAGGTCATGGAACTAGCAAGTGGAAGCACCAAGTCTCTAATATCCTACTCAAATATGATGGTATAAGAGTCGCTCTATGCTGCTTATAGAAAAAGGGTCTCCTACAAAAGGTTGGAGCATACATACTGTTTATGTTTAGCGAAAGATTTCTATTCAGATGATTCAACCAACAAATTAAGATATCAGGGGTCAAGCCCATAATAATAAAAATAGCTAGCATTTGTTGAGTACTCATGATGTTCCTGTCACCATGCTACATCTTATTTAATGTTTTCAACAATTCTATAGTGTGAGGTTGATCTTGTTACTATTTTTTTTAAGTACAAATGGGAAACGTGATTCTTTTTAAATAAATACTTAAACACAACATGGGTCCTACAAGCATCTGGACTCTAGGTCTGAGTGGCCCACATGTCAAGATCCCCCTCCCCCCGTAATCAATGGTCAACATGATCTGGAGCCCCTTTCTAGAGCATCCCTGGCCTCTACATGATCTGGCCAGGACAACTGGAATTCTCGAAGGTTGATGGTCCGTGATAGTTAGGGATTCTACGTGGCTCTCCTGGTCCCCAGGCTGCCCGAGTGCAGCTGTTCTTAGATGACTTTCTTGAGCTCGTCGTACAGGACCAGCACGAAGGCCCCCCCCATGCCCCTGAGGACGTTGGACCAGGCGCCCTTGAAGAAGGCTTTGCCCCCCTCGTCCCTGAAGATCTTCCTCCAGCAGTCCACAGTGCCCTTGTACATGATGTCAGCTGCAGGGAAGAGGGCAGACATTGCTGTTAAGTTCCTCAGAACACAGGTAACACCACCCCCAAACCTCACAGAGACAAGGCTCCAGACAGATGACTATCTGAGTCAGCTTTAAAACAGGAAAAAATGAAGCTCTGGTGACCAACTACTCTGGCTTCCCACCTCCTACTAAACTATTGTCAGAAAGATGGCATTTTCAACACACCAGAGGCAAGACCCCAGCCTTGGCAGTATCTCATTCCCACCCCGTGTCTGTGCAGGGAGGGCAGGATTGACGGGGTGGATGTGGCCAGGTGCCCAGATGGGGCCTGAGGTTCTGGGAAGCTAGGGTTTACATTGTTGCTTGGATAATTTAAGTCTCAAAAAGAACAGAAGCCCTTCCTTAAAACAGATTCCTCGGGAAGCTGGGTCACCTCATGAACACAACTGCTGCCTCACAACCCCTCAGTATAGCCTCCTGTGATCGCTCCTCTCCTTCTAGGGTTGAGGCTGAGGCCCACTCACGGCTCCCAGGGCCCGGGGACTGACAGGTACCTCCTTAGAGGCCCACCACGGGCTCCCAGGGCCCGGGGACTGACAGGTACCACCTTAGAGGCCCACCACAGGTTCCCAGGACCCAGGGACGGACAGGTACCTCCTTTGCGCCCCGACTGCATCATCATCCTTCGCCTCACAGTGTCAAAGGGGTAGGAGACCACACCAGCCACGGCCGTCACAGTCTGGGCTATCATCCAGCTGACCACAATGTGGGTGTTCTTGGGGTCGGGGAGCATGCCTGTGGAGTCACAGCCAATGTCAGCCCACCCCCCCACCGCGCACGCACACGGCCACCCAGGAGGTGGCAGGAGCTCCTCCAAGTCAGAACCACCCCTCCCTGTGGCTGCCTGTGAGCATCTCAGCACAGAAGCCCTTCCTAGCATTAAAGGGCAAGGCACAGTCAGCTGTAGGACCAGAAAGGGAAAAGCTCTTACAAACTGCTGCTGTGGTGTGCTAGGGAAGGCCCTGACGCTGGGGCTTGGGGCCTGGGGCTGGCCTGTCTAGAGAAGAAGGACATAAGAGCCCCATGGAAGTGCTGTCTGAGGGTTTCCACTGTGGAATGGCAGCCCGGTCTACCAGCAGGCCTGGCCACGGTTTACGTGGTGACAGGCTTCTACTATTTCACCACTGGAATTCACATGTGGAAGCTCAGCTCCCTGCCTCAAGCCGCAACAACGTTTGGAGTTAAAGAGACAAGTAAGCTAGAAGGGTCTAAGGTGGGTCCTGATCCAGCAGGGGCGGTTTCCTTGTAAGAGAACAGACAAGGCTCGGCGCCTGTGGCTCAAGCAGCTAAGGCGCCAGCCACATACACCTAAGAAGGCAGGTTGGAATCCAGCCCGGGACTGCCAAACAACAATGATGGCTGCAACCAAAAAAGGCCAGGCATTGTGGCAGGTGCCTGTGGTCCCAGCTACTTGGGAGGCAGAGGCGAGAGACTTGCTTGAGCCCAGGAGTTGGAAGTTGCTGTGACCTGTGATGCCACAGCATCACAGATAGCTTGAGGCTCTATCTCAAAAAAAAAAAAAAAAAAAAGAGAACCCAGACACAGAAGAATGGCTTTGGGAGGACACAGAGAAAAGACCGTGTCTACAGGCCAAGGAAAGAGACCTGGGGAGGACCAGCCTGGGACACCAATGACTTCCTGCACACCTGTGGCAGCCCTCACTCACCTTTGGCGGTGTCATACACGCCGAAGTAGGCAGCCCGGTAGATAATGATGCCCTGCACTGAGACGTTGAAGCCCTGGTACAGGCCGCGGACCCCATCCGACTTGGTGATCTTCACCAGACAGTCTCCCAGGCCCTTGAACTCCCGTTCTGCGCCTGACTTCCCCACGTCAGCAGCCAAACGGGTTCTGGCAAAATCCAGCGGGTACACGAAGCAGAGGGAGGTGGCCCCCGCGGCCCCTCCAGAGGCCAGGTTGCCGGCGAAATACCTCCAGAACTGAGTGTGTTTGTCCACACCCCCCAGGAAGATCTGCTTGTACTTATCCTTGAAGGCGAAGTTGAGGGCTTGGGTGGGGAAATAGCGAATTACGTTGGCCAGGTTGCCCCTCCAGAAGGACAGCACACCTTGCTCCCTGGGGATGCGCACGACGCAGTCCACAATACCCTTGTACTGCTTGTCGGCCGCAATCTGCTTGCTTGCATGCTGCACCTGCAGGGGCAGGAGTGGGAGGAGACGGGGTTCAGACCAGGCCTGGGTACACGCCCCAGCTGCCTAGAACCCGTTCTTACAGAACTAGCTCACGGGGCCACCTGCGAGCCGCCCCAACACCTTTCACCCCGCAAACCCA